CCACAAAAATTCAGCCCGTAGTTTGCATTTCAGGGACCTATTGAACTCTTGGAAAGTGAAAGCATATACCTATGAAAACTTATACAACTACTCGTCCGTTTAAAGTCTTGCAATTTCCACCAGCATCTTGCCTTCTGCAAGAGCCTCACCTGGGTTTCTGTATGTTTTTAACTCCTCATCTTGCCAACTATAAAACTGAAAATAACACATTATACTATTTAAAAGCTAGAATTCCCAGCTCTTTTTGTGAAGCATAAAATATCACTGTCTAACTACTAGTCCCTGGAACATTCCCAGCTTAGTATTTTTAACAAAAATTGTAAAGAGAAAGTAATTAAAATAGCAAGAACAGACCTACATGACCACATTGGGAAGCCCAACTACCGAGGGCACATACAACAACAGCTTCTAGCCTCTGCTGATTGAGAGAGATAATTTCTTAAAGCTCTTGTTGCCCCTCTGCCCCCCAATTAGCTGTGGTTTTTTTGTCACCGAATCAAGATTTAACATAACAAGCCCCAAACCTAGGAACTGTTTAATTCCTGCCACTGGATGTGGCTTCACTGATGTCGCTTCCACCTCTTCTGTGGCTCTTTCTTGCCCTTGAGGTAATTTTCGTAACGTTTTCACGAAATCCACTTCTAACCTTCCTCCCCTTTGAAAACATACATAGAAATATGAATGGCAGGCATGCAATCTGTGCAGAGACACAGCACAGAAACTTGCACCTTGCACTCTTTTTCTATGTAAATAATGCAAGGATCCTGCGGGAACATGCCAGGGATTGGAATTTTTAATTAATGGGTCTCTTTAATGTGCAAATCAGGAGCAGATTGCAAATTCTGACTTGCATTGATTATGAAAAACATTAATTGAACGTGCAAGACCCCAAACAGAGGCAACATCTCAAGCCCTGGACTAGACTGGAAGATATGGTGCAAGAGAATACAAATGTATCTTGGAGAAACAGACCACTCCAGGCATCAGCACCTCAGAAACGTAAGCTGTGGGAGTTCACGTGTGCCGTGCATTGAACATTAAACATTTGCGCGGCATTCAGAGCGCAGCCACTGTGATTTCAGTATTAAAACCACTCAGACTTTCTCCATGGATGCAAAACAGGAATAAACATGAGCTCCATGACCACAGTTTGGTCTCCAATTTCTATGTAAAAAGGGTGACAGAAAAAAATCTGGAATATAATTAAAGATTTTAAAAAAAAAAAAAAAAGGAAAGAAAAAGAAAGACAGTGCAAAAAAAAAAATGCTGTCTCTTTAAACAGAAATTCATCCTATATAAATTATGGCCATAAACTTTTCCTGCAGTGCAGCCTAATTAATTCTTGTTCTATACACAAAGGGAAATGCTGGGTGACAAATGGGTGTGAAGCCTGAAAGCTGCCAGGTCTGCAAAACATTTTCTACTTCAATTTATAAGCAATTTTGCAGTAAATCATCCACCAGAACCTGAGATCTCAGGAATCCAAGACTGTCCAAGGCACGGTGTGTCATTTTTTTTTCAAAAAAATATTTCATAAAAGATTACAAAAATAATAAATTAAACACTTAAAGTTTTGTAACCTCCAATCTCAAAATTTGGAAAACAAGCACGACCTTACGGTTTTCGCTCAGATTTGGCATATAGAACATTGCTGTCTACTCTTTAACACAATGATACTCAAACCCTTAGGGAATTTCACTACCACCACTAGCTGCACAGAGGGTTGTCACAAGTGGGAGATACCAAAGAGGCAAATATACGAAGGACCATTTTCCATTTCAAAAAAATCATCCTTCCTGTGAGCACACAGCAGAAATTTCACAAGCAATAGAAGGACTTGGGATAAATTACTGAAAGCATTCTGGGGCAGCTTTCAAAGAGATGCGAGGGACTTGTCCAGGACCTCAGAGAGCGCTGGGTGCCAAGACATCTCTGAGCCCTCCTGCCTTCAGCAGGCTACAGCGCACAGCGAGAGTCTGGATTTTTGGCACCAACTGCTTTGTGCAACTTCAACAGCAAATAATTTCCTCCTATTCAATGAAGATGATGAAAGCATGCCAAATTTATTCTGTGGATTTGGAAAGAAGTGCTGAGGCTTCCCTGAAATGAGAGTATCATCCAGTCCAAAACAGTGTCAATGTCATGATTATCCCAAATCCTGTCCCGAGACTGAAGCGCATCACGTACAATGGAACCACCTCAACATCCAGTATTTACAAAGTCCTGTCTTCCACTCATCTTTAAACTTACTCATGCACAGTTCTAATTTTTCCTGTCTGGGGAATTGGAACCTACCCACAAGCTGGTAATACAACTGGGATGAGAACTCAGGAGCCCAGAAACATTTACCCAGCCCACTACATCACCATTCAGAATCAAGTAAAAAAGTTTATTTTTATAGAAGCCACTAAACCACTCTATCAGCTAAAAGTTAGGTCTTTTATTGGAAGCTGATTTATAATTGAGATTTTTTTCCCCCTCATAAATGAAGGTGCATCAATTCATGAAAGAACTTTAAACATATTATCACATACATTTTCAGAAAGGACTTAGTTTCACCTCCTGAACTGACAGGTCACAGCCCTGTTACCCAGGCAGAAGCTCCATGAATGAAGATGTAACACAGCTCAGATTGCCCATGGGGTAAAGCTCTTGCTGTTGATTAGACATGAATTCCCTCTCCCAGGGCCCAACACAGCAAAGCGAGAGAGAAATGGGTCTTTGCCACCCAACACCAACTACATCCATAGTCTTTCATATGATCTTCAGGTACAAGTTTACTCCTTACTTCATGCTTGGCACTTGGTAACTTCTGGAAAGAGCATCTTTGCAGGGCAGCGAGATAGCTGCATTGGACAATAGTGTAGCTCATCAAAAATGACTATTTATTGTAACCTACTTTACTGTGCAATTACAGACCGTATTTTAAAAAAATAGAAGAAAAAAAAAAGGAATATAAATTTGGTCCTTTAGAGAACACTGGAAAACACTAAACAAGTGTAGTAGTAGCAGAATGTTCCTAAATTCATTACTTCCCGTCGGTCAGTCTGAGCACCTCCTCTGCTAACCTCACCCAGGTCACTCCAGCTATATTTTCTCGCTGTCTTCGCAGATGAAATACAGAACACAGACCCAGGCTATCAGGAACATCAGAATATACTGCTGCAACTTTCCTGCCCAGATTATGAGAAGAGGGTGGGGAGGGAATCACCGAGCAGTTATTAACAGTGGATTTTCCTTTAGTGTTCTGGACAACTGAAAGATTAGCCTCCCTGCTGTACTGTGTACAGTATTATACTCCATGTTCTTGAATGTATTTTGCTTATGGGAAATATCAAAATGTCAACCATTGTTTCTGTTAAAGGTCTTTAATGATATTGCATTTTAGGCCTGTAATGAAACATGGTGCTCGGTGCAGTCTGTAATGCATCTCATTAAATACATTAATAACATGTATTTCACTGAAAGGTCAGCTTAGTATTGTTGGGAGTTTGCCTTTTTTTCCTTAATCACTTCATTTAAAGCAGCAGAGCTAACTTTAAAATATAAAGTATCTCACCTGCTATAACTCCAGATAAGCTGATTCGCTACCGTGTTCAGATCAGTTATAAGCCGTGAGATAATAGTCAAAACTTGGCGTAGGGACAAGACTCAGGTCAAGTTCGATGACGCTGAAAGTTCCTAATCCAGTTTTAAGATGACTTGTGCCAGCCCAGGCCAAAATTTCTCAATGGGCAGGTATCGCTACAGCATGTACAAACTGGGACACTGTGTGGCTGAAGGGATATACAACCACAGCAAACCAGACAGTTCAGATGACGTCTCTGATGTTTAGCATGAAAGGCTGTAGGCACCACCACGGTGCTTCCTACCAACTGGTTCACATAAGGGGGCTTCTTGCGATCCTCCACAGGGTGCTCACCTACAGAGCTGAAACGTTCTGGGAAGTGAGCAGTATCTCAAGATTGGGAAAGAAGAAACAGAAGTGAAAGGGATAACCAACCTGGCAAGCTGTAAAATGCTACTGGGCTTATCTTTATTATTCCAAATCACTGGAAGACTATCCTATGAAGTTCATTAATTTCTGATTAGCGGGATTAGAAAAAAGAACAATCTGTGTATAAACATTGTCATCTGTGTGGTTTTGGATAGAAAACAACAAACATGTCAGGGAGAAATAGACACCAACTGACACCTGAAGTAGTTTGTATTTATTGCTAAGGATAACATACCAGACGTTTATCTCCCTGTACATTTACCTTAAGGCCAGTAAAAAAGGTGTCCAATTCTAAAAATTAAACAGACCCACAACACACTGAAGTTGAGTACTTTGCACTTATCAACTGGAGCGTGCACATCATATTTGCCATACTGGAGAATCCACTACGAAACTCATCAGATCAGTATCATTAATAGCGATCCTAAAAAATAAACAGATGAAGCAGCTTCAAGCTGAAAAGATATTTGCTGTTGATTTAACAGCACTGGCCCTCTCATTTGGGCTACATTACTCTCAGTTAGGGCAAACCTTTGCATTCACTGACCCAACACATGATTGATACCACAAGGTGTCTCTGGACAAAGAAGCATCCCAACTCTGCATTGAACGGCAACAACCAAACCAATTATTCCTAAGACCCAGCATGAAACTTAAAATTGGTAAGCAAACTTCAGTCCCCACGTGAACTAGAAATAGCAGCGGGACCCGAGCTGAGGCTTTCCAACATTGCGTAAGTGACAACAGGCCACCAGCAGAGATCAGCTAGACATATACAGACATGGGCGATAGGAGACATTGTCTTTGTCCGGGGTAGGAACCACTTTTTGGTCTCTGTTTGCACGGTACCTAATTAATGATTAAAGCAATACAAACCAACAGCTAATACTACAGGCACATGCAACTCAAAGCCCTCCCTTTCCCATTAACACTTCCCCGCACAGGCAAAACATATTGGCTACAGCAGAGTCTACCCAAAGTAGAAAGACTAAAGAATTCTTACAGTTCTCGACAGCATTGTCAAATTCTTGTCCACCTTCCTTTCTGAAGACTGGGTACGTATCTGGCTGTGGAAGCCGGTTGACTGTTACAAGCGCCTTCTGCATCTTGATTCTCCCTTCCAACAGTTGATCCCACAGTGCTTCATAACAAAGAGAAAATAAAACAATTTGAGCAAGCCAAAGCACTTGCTCCTCGTGAAGGAGCTGTTGATTTAACAGCACAGGCCCTCTCCTTTGTGCTACATTACTCCTGGTTAGGGCAAATCTAATCTTTGCATTCACTGACTCAGCACAATATTGGTACCACAAGGTGTCTCTGGACAAAACCACATCCCATCCTATGATCCTGACTGCAATTCTGTGACCCACAAAAAAATCATCCCTTTGCTTTACTATTTAAAAGGACATTCTGCAAATGAAGGTTTGATAGTTTAATAGGACAGATAGGAAGAAACTGCATTCAGTATTACATTTTGAAAAGAAACAGAGGCGGTATCAGCATCACTGCACAGCACTACCGGTGTAGGAAGTCCCCACGCCCACCAATGCTACAAGTGTATTCAGTAGTGGTTCAGTTAAGCCAGCGGATAAATCCACTTCATAACAGGAGATTTTGTACCAGCAGTGACACCAGTTTGCATAGCAGATTTGGCAGACCATTTGCAAATCACTAGGGCTGCTGTAGCACGCATGTGCCGTATGCTAACAGCACGTTAACATGCTGAAGTGGTTCCTAACATGGCCAGCTTCTATAGCGTCAGCAAGGTGAAAGTCTCGTCAAAATACAAAGCAAACATGCACAAACCTAGCTGGTTCTTCACAGCTTTTCCTTTTTCTACTTCTTCAGCCTCTTGTCCTTTTGAGAATGTCATCATCCCCCCATCACCTTCGCTGTCTTTGGTTTCCTTTACATCATCGTGGTTTTCACTCCCATATTCTTCCTCACCGCTTCCTTCTTCCATGCTGGCATCATCTTCATCTTCTCCCTCACTGCTTCCTACATCATCCATCCCCTCTGTAAATTTCTCAAAGTCTGTAATATTCTGGAAACTGAACTTTGGTGCCTTGGCCTTGGCAGATGGATCTGTCTCTTCATCGTCTTCCAAGTCATCCTCTTGGTCACTGCCAGCACTGCTGGGCTCCTCCTTTGGTTTAGTGCCTAAGCTGCCGTTCTCTTCTGCATCTTCACTGCCACTGTACCATTCATCTAATGCTTCTTCAGCTAACAATTAAAGAGAAAAAAGTTATTTACTTACCAGGAAAATATGCCACTTTGCATTATGCATCATCAATAGCTACAGGTTTGGGCTATTTGAGCTCCAAACTCCATTTTATCTGTGCATGATGTGACTCTCTGTTTTGGCTAAATAATGGAACCACAAGGCCATATCCACAAAAAAATCTCAGCTCACATTTTCCTGCAGCAATGATTAGTAGGCTTAGCTTTCCCATGAAACAATGGCCTGATAAGCAAACAAGGTGGTCAGGATTTGCTATATACATTTTTTAAATGAGAATCTGTATATACTTGCAGTCCCCGAGATATATTGGCTTAAAAATGGGAGCTGTTTCTTTTCCTCCACACAATGTTCAGTCAGTGCACTGAGTCACACTTAGACTTACACTTAGTCACAGTCTTTCCTCAGTCTGTAGAAGTGACCTCCTCTTTGGGATTTCCCCTTCCCTCAGGCCAAAAAATAATGGCCTGAATTTCAGGAAGGCACTTCAAGAAGATGTCCAACTTAATTGTACCTGTTTATTGCCCTGTAACAGGGACCTAAAGTTTCTCATTTCAGTACAGATGGCACTAGCTCAGTTAACGTGCTAACATCAAATTTTGATTAGTCTAGTGAAAAGGGGAAAGAAATGAGATTTCTTACCAGATCCTTCTTCAGACAGAGCATCTCCCCAGAGTTCTTCTTGCAAGGCTTTGCGAGATGTAGCTTTTCCACTGTATCTTTTATCAGCTTCCAAGAGAGAGGCTGAAGCTTTTTTCCGTATATTACCAACAGGGAAAATGTCATCTGCAGTTTCATCCTCAAATTTGTCAATCACTTTAGCAACTGTAGCTGTGGGGAAGAAAAAAAATAGAGGGGAGGGATGTCTAAACTGAACTGAATTTCAAACTAGAAGAACTCGCTGCAGGAAGGAGCCATCCTGCTCCACGGAAAACGCCTCGTGCTCTACAAACAAAAATATACTGCAAAGGTGAGCTTGATGGCAACACAGCCTCGCGTAAGAGTCTGGCTTTCAGGCTTCGAGAGGGAGCAAGGCTCTTCCCTGCCTGGTGAAGGAAAGCCACTACACTAATTTTCTGCAAAGGGGCAAAGGTTACTAGGGAATCGAAGGCAGAGAAAAAGCCTCAAAGCTGGGTTTTGTGTAGATCAGCACCAGTCCTGCCTAGAAACTACTGAGTAAAGTAATAGCTCTGCAGAAGGAAGGGAGATGTTACACGGACAGACCAATTCCAACCCCGCTACATTCACACTTTCTTCCCTGCCTCTTCTTTATTTTAGAGAACCCGCACAAAGCGCTAGACAAACTAAGCCTATCCAAGCCCTTCCACAGATTCATGAGGGTCTCATGAGAAGTGTAGTCCCCCGGGTGGAGGACTCAGTGAAGCTGGAACGCCTTCACTCACTTCACGCCTACAGATTAAATTCAAACTGCAATTGAGGTGCACTTTGGCCTCTTGCTATATGTACGAGCCACATAAATACGTAAACATTTTAGAACGGCTAAACAGAGAAAATAATTTCACTGTGGTTATTACCCTCTTTCACACCCATTTTCTCCAGGACACAGGAATGGAGCGGTCCAGCAAAGAGAACACATCATACCATACTCCCTCCTTATTTTCATTCATGTGCAAGACACCCTGTATGCAAAATTACAGGGTTAGCTTTGTTCAACCAATTGAGTGATCCAACTGGCTGAACATCGCTAAGTGCTCTTTTAACGTGTGTTTGGAAATGTTAATGCCTCGCATATAGTGTCTACTTGAGGCAGGGGGGAAGCAAAAGAATCTCCTGCTCATAATCAAAGCAGCAAGATCTGGTCTAAATATAGTCACTCCAGCTACAAGAGGACGGCAAGATGCTCGGCACCAAGGAATGACTGGGCAAGAGGGGCAGAGGCAGAATGACCTGTGGCACCTGACGGATCTTCTGGCATTCTCAGTCTCGGCACCGCTGAAGTATGAAGTCTGAAACTAAATCATGATTACTAAAATGGGAAAACGCCTCTGCTGACTGCGTTGATTTCCTCAATGGTTACTAAGATGTTGCTTACAAGATACTATTGGTCTCACATACACTTGTATAGAAGAACCAGGGTAGCTGGCACAACGTCTACCATGACTGGTGCCTAGTACCTCCTAAAGCCAACCGCTGTCGGTGTGTGACGGTTAGCTCGCTATCTCAAGAGGTGAGTGCAGGAACCCTGTGACAGACGTGCCCTAGAGATGAGTCCTGCCCCACGGCTTGGCTGGTCTACTGGCCGGTGGGGAAACTCTGCTCTGGAGAGGGTAAGTCAAGGGAACGGCAGGCACCCGCCTGGAAACTTAGAAGATGACACCGCCACCTACATGTCACGGGAAAAGGGACGAATGTCTCAAAAATCACAACTAAGGCAAGAAGAGCTTGATTTAAAAAGATCAGTTGATTCTTGGCCCCTGGTAAGCATCAAACAAGACACGTGCAGTGTGCTGCGGCCTGCTCTGAGCGCTCGGTGTGCCGGCGAGGGGTGTCACCAGCGACGGCTGAGCCTCCTCCCCGCTCCCACAGCCGCACCGGCTGGGCTCCGCCGGCCGTGCCCCCCACCTCCGCTCTTAGGCC